GTGTAGTCCGAGGGTAATGCGGGGAAATCATGTTGGGAGATCTAATATACACGGCCTTTGCTGGAATTGTAGGTGAACGTCCACTCTTTATCTGACACGTATGATATTGTAGAATGTGTGCACGTGAGTATTTTTATTTAGTTGTGTAAAGCCTACTAATTGAAAGAAGAAGACAAGCAGGCGAGCGGGCGGGAGGGTCGGGTTAAATTTGACCCGTAAACCTTGATTTGATTTTCAGCCCTCCATTTTTTTGTTTCTCCTTCCTAAGGTCCATTTCTTTTTCGAGAAAACGGTGACAAAATTCGTAATTACATTCATCACTAAAACTATTTAAAAATTTTGAAAAATTGCTCAAAATTGAGTTGTCTCGACACAGCCGGTGGCTAGGGTTTTCAGAATCTCGAAGAAGGTTTTGGGAGTTTTGTTGGATCAAGTTTTGTTTTCAAATATATGATGGGCCGGANCGGACCGTTAGATTACTTGAAAAATCTAAATATTTGTGATGATTTAAAACAGAACACATATTTATTGCAAAAAAATATAGTTTGTATTTAAAAGTAAATTATAAATATTAATTTTATAAAGAATGTTTTTGCAAAATGAATCACAAATTACGAATATTTTAAACATATTTGTTCATGTCCAACCCTAATTTTCGAAATTTGCCTCTTAGACGTCTACATATCCTACCAAAATTTCAACAATTTTCACACATAATGNAACTTAATTATTTTCACATATAAAACTCATATACACTTTCGAATTTGCAACCGTGTTATGATATAACAATGACACGAGTACAATTGAATAAACTACAAACTTCGGTCGTTTATACACACTCAATTTAATTAAAAAATAGTGGAGGATGCATTTAAATTTGGATCAATTGCAAGAATAACCCCAAAAAAAAATCATTAACTAGCTAAAATGAAACTATGTGCTTAATAAAATCCAATAAAAATAGAGCAAATGGTTATGTTTTAAATNATAATTTTTTTGGGTGTTATTGAGTTTTACTTCCCTTTAAATTTCTTTAACATTTTTAAAAAAAAATTCACGTCCCACGTAGCTTATCACATATTGTAAGCATAAGTTCACATGATTAAGAAAAATATGAACATTGTTAAGCAAGGGTAACTTTTTATTTTTATTAACGTTCTGAGAATGAGATTAATAGTTTAATAAGATACCTTCACTTTTATATATAACCTCAAAGTCTGCGAATCTCACTTTCTTTGTAGAATCGTTAATAAGTATAGGTGATCAAATAGGAGACCTTTGATCTCTCTCCCTTCTTTTTCCTTCGTCGGGGTTTC